GAACGAGATTTGGACCTACATACTAAACCAAATCTAACTGCCCATTTTCAAAACTTCGTTTTGACTGGTAGACCTATACATTAAGACACATCTGATAAACTTAAAAAAAAATTTTTTCTGACAGTTCAGATATTATCATGTGCATTCAAAACTAAAACTACTGCCAGGTTTTTGGGACCTTTCAGCAAGTATTACTTCTAGCGCTCTTATATACTCAAATCACTTATTAAATTCTCATTGTTAAACCAATTTCTTACCTTACAAGTTCTTCTTAGATATAATCTCATTATCTTACCTCAATACAACTCTTTCAGATTTGTTGAAAAGTAAGAGCCATTTTATCCAATCATTAAGAGTAATTTGCAGTGCCGTTCCGCAGACCCGCTGAAAGTCATCGAGTGGTCTCCAGCACTACTATACATTATTCTTTTTACATCTTCATATTCTGTTATTCGCGGAAGTTAGATGAGTGATTAAACCCGTAACTCAATCAAGGACGTTGGAAGTGTGAAACGATAAACAAAGTAGGTGAAGTGTACTTTCAATAATATTTTATTGGCGACCGATATTTGGAAACTGTTTTCGGCTTTCATCAAAGTTCAGCTAACAGGCCGAGAAAATGACCTCAAATGTCGCAGATTTTATCTACTGCATACCTTCAACCCAATTTACCAACGCAAAGTTCGAAAAAAAAAAAAGGTGCAAGAGAGCTTTGCCAATAATGATCTCTTAAAATGGCTTAATAACAGAAAGTGATAAGCCAGAAACCATTACAAAGAAGAATTTCCGATCACAAAATTAGCTGAGAAATAAGTTAAGGACACACTATCACAGAAAAAGACCTCCCTGATCGGTCTCAGTGATCATCTCTTTTCATTCTAAAATGCAGTGGCGTCCACACATTGTTTTCAATCCTCTTCAGAAAAGTTTATAAACGTTCCTCTATGCTGTTGGTTTCTAGTATTGTTTTTCATTAACATTTATCCTGTACTACTACTGTTGGCTTCCTGCATCGGTAAACTGCTCATATTTCTTTGAAGGGAAAAGAAAGGATGCCCGAGTTTTAATCTATTTTACTATCTAAACGAATTTCTTCTGTAAAGCTGTTCTTCAGAAGTTACTTTAGTTTCATTTTAAAGTTTCATTGATATACAAGTTTTTTATGGTAAAAAGTAATTTTGGGTAGGGAATGAAAGCTTTAGACGCATACTTGTTTTTTTGACGTATAAGTCTCCCAGAACGTTTGTGCGTAGTTCGGAATAATTATTGATGCAGACAATTCAATAAACGTTTGGAAATAAGCTCTCATTTGTTTCACTCTTCACGGACCTACCTTATACTGATACTTGTTCCAAGTTTACGGTTGTCTATTGCAGAAATCAAACGAGACCGAACAAATTCTGTCATGAAGACTGTTCTGAATGACCAACCTGTGGTGTCGTTAGGTTTGGAAACTTGTCCTCCGGATCCTTACGTTAATAAGCGTCGTTGGTTATTTCCTAAATCACTCAACAGTATTGCTGCTACAAAGATACTGGCCGTCCATCACTTCATTTTTGAGAATGTCGGGAAGATCGCAGGAAGCCAGCGATACTGTGCAGTTCTGATAATTACGGTACGATTGTTGTGATGTTTTTTTCTTAAATGAGAAGCATTTAAGAGGAGGAAGTGAGGCTGGCATTAGCAAGATAATGTCTCGGAAAGAGATTACAAAGAGGTAAACAAATAGTTTGGTAGCTTATTGTTACTTTTACTCGTCTGCGACTTGTCTCGTCGGTTTAAAATGTTGCCTGCAACGATGTTCACGGGCTACACGCTTGAACCGTAGCGCCATAAAGTCGGTTAGTGGTACAGACGGGTGTTAATTGATGTTGAGCCAAGATAATTGTTATGTCTCTGTGCTTAGTTTTACTGAAAGTTGTGGGCTGCGAAGTGCATAGTACACTACAGTCGTCCGTTTCATGTCATGCTCATGTTTTTTGTTTTGCTAAGTTCAATGGAGCTCTTATTGGGATGGGAGAAAAGTATATGGTCTTTTTTACTTGCCCCTTCATCTATTCTTCAATTGTTTTAATTTTTCGCTATCGAGTGTCTTCTTAATCTCATGGTTTGTGTTGTTTTAGTGGCTTCAGGAACCGAAAGCAGTGAATTTTATGCTTTTGAAACGGACTTGGAAGCTTATTTTTCTGAAATAGAGTTTTAATAATGCGATCTATCGTTTTATCTATCAGTTTAAAGGAGTTGCCGCTTTAAAATATGAATTAGTATGTCCAAGTTTCTAAGTAGCGCGGAAAATTTGCTACCATCAGTCTTTATTAGTTTAGTCACAACTTCCTAGTTAGCTCGAACAAGAAGCTGTTCAGTGTACATATTGACAAATGCAGCAGGGTTAATTTGAAATATTGGAGTTTGATTTAGAACGATTTAGTAACCTTTGATTACAAGCGCTCATGAAGTCTGTCGAATAAGTTTCTGTTTTTAATCTCACTCATAATTTGCTTCTTTGTTTAGATTCTTCTTGTTCATCGTTTTCACTAACTGTCTTGCCTTTACCTGTAAAAATACCTGTAACGCTCGTATTTCCATTTGGTACCGGGAGGTGGGGGGTTCACAGTTCGCAACTTTCGGCAGTTTACCTTGTGTTCAGATCGGCGGTTTTGATGTCCTCACAGCTCAGAATGTTTTTAGGCAGCTATTGCATTGTCCTGCTGTAACATATATCTACGTTTTGATGACGATTTTCGTAGCGGCTATTCGCTGTTTGACGCAAAGTCAACAATGGAGCATGATATGTTTCTCAATTTTTCTGGCTTAGCCAAGCAGCCGTACACTGTAAGTTACTATCTGCATCTCAAAAGTTTGGTAACTAAAGGTGTGAAGGTGTTGCCGTCATACCTGACAAGTTGTTGTAACAGATTATGTTGGTCGGCGAAAGTGCTGATGGTGGGTCAATGTTGAGGAAGAAGCAGTTTATGGTTATGAAAAAAGAGATCGATCAAGGGCTTGCTACTGCGCTAAATGTTTCGGACGATGATGGTTCTTTTCTTTTCTGGCCAAGGCATTTGAAGGATTTGGTCGTTTTTTCCAGCGAAGTTCAGTTCGACCTGATAGAGGTATAGTATTTCTGAAGGTACTGTGCGGTCAAAACAGAGTGTAGTTATGAAGTCTTGAGCGGCATCTTTTTTCTGTTTTCTTGCAGGCGGTGGTTGAGAACTTTTTAAGGCATCAAAAGCACTCATTTCATACTGTTATTCGTTGTAGGATTTTTTGACCAACAATAACTCCAATACTAAGTTAGGATACCCAGTAGCAAGACATCACGGTCGAGATATCATGATGACTCGAACTGTCTTTGGTTATAATAACGGTAGTGCAAAGTTACTTGCTTTCCTCTTTGCTTTTACTGGTGATAACCCGTACCTTGATTACATTAAGAAAGCTGAAGTCCTTTGGAGCGAAAGGTTGAAGGTGATTGCGATTCCTATTTTTAAATTAATTTGAAAAGTTAGTGAGTAACTGTGGCAGTGAGATCATTTCTTTTGTTTATTCTGATGTCCTTCTGATGGAATTCTTTCAAATTCTTCAATAATACAACTGTTTAAGATGGCTGACAGCAATGTAACGAAGATGCGTCTTTTTGGGGATTCTGTGGTAAACAATGAGATACATTTAAGTGCACTCGGTGCCTGCCCGTACTTCTTTGTAGGCTCTATCTTAATGGTTTTGTTTGTATGTGTGACGATGTTCCGTCATAGCGGGGTTGGTTTTTCTTAAAAGAAACTTTTTGCTACGGTAAAGTATTAGTTATCAGAAAACTGTACTTGCCAATGAGATTTGATTTTGGCAGTTTCTGTATTTCTTGACGACCGCTTTTTACATTAAGTCAGTAACTTGTGGTTTGCAGAGATTTCTTCACGCAATTTATTTGACTTTTTGGACAATCTTCTGCCCTGTTCTCGCTGGTACATGTACAATGGCCGTCTTTGCATTAATTGGAATACCTTTGAACTGTGTCATGTACACCTTTCTATTTCTTACATAATTGTGCTTGAGGGTTCAATGATATTTGCTGATGGGCAACGGGAGGAGTACTCAGAATAAAAAATGCTGTTTTTTAAAGGGTCATGATTTAATGCTTATAGCAAAGAATTTAGGATGATTACCCCGTTTTTGGTGCTCGGGGTCGGTGTGGACGATGCATTTTTAATGATACATCATTGGTATCATTCGGAGGAGACAGACAGGAACACTCGGCTTTGTTCTGTTTTGTTGAGGACTGGCCCATCTATTACGCTAACATCATTTACCAATATAGTTGCTTTTTTGGTGAGTGGCGTGTAGCTTCGTCTTACGTCTAATAAGACGTAGGACGTCCTTTCGCTGTTAGCAAAAAGATTTCTTAATAAGATCTTGTTTCTATAATGCGTATGGTTTCAGATTGGTAGTTACCGCTCTGCACTTGACCTGAAGCTTTTTTGTTTGAGCGCTGCGTTAGCTTTTACTCTGGACTGGATTCTACAGTTATTCGTTTTTTCTCCAATGTTACTGTTTCTTAAAGTGGAAAGGAATGAGACACCAACGACGCAGAAAAAGCCGTTAGTTGTTTTTTCCCGGCGGTTGTGCTGTTCTTGTTGACTGGTTTCTGAATATCTTTTTTCTTTTTCTGGGCGTTGTTGTTGGCCACTGTATATTCGGATTTATTGGGACAAACCCGAGCTCGTCTGGCTTTGTCGCTTTTGGTTGTGGCGTACTGGGCTGTTGGCATTTATGGCGGGATCTCAATGCAAGAGAATTTTTCGCCAGAGAAGATTTTTAATTCTCAGTCGTTTCTTGCAAGATCGCTGAGAGAAAATGAAAAAGTTTGTCTTTTATTTAGGACTTGGGGGAAGAATTTTAGATCTAGTGCTGCACAAGATGGGCAAGGGTTTTCAAGACTCGATTTAGATGTTCCGAGACCATGAGATGATCAGGGTTTTCGTTAATGAACTGCCCACTAACGTTACCCTGCTGAGAAGCAGGGTGGAACAGTTACGTAAGATAGATTATTTGTGTAAAGACTTTACTCCTTGGATTGAGGACTATGATGATAAAGGGTATGGGAAGAATGCAACTACTGTGGGAGAGTATTTCGAGAACCTTGAAGCATATTTAGTGACGAATCCAAATGCGATCGCTGACGTCCGGTACTGCAAGAGATTCTTCATGTAAATGGTTTTCGTTAAAATTTCTTTTGTTCTTTCTTAAATTGTTTTTGCTGTCCAATTCAGATTTGTTTGGATTGTTTAGGTTCGGCGTTTTTCAAGTTGAGAAGTTTGCTTTTGATTTGTGCGTTCGTGGCTTTGGAACTTGGAGAGAGCGCGCTCTAATGCTTGAGGACTTACGCAGCAAGATGCCCGCAGGTTTTTCTGTGTATATGAGCGAGTCTCCAATTATGGCTTCTATCGTATCTTCCCGCTCTGCTGTGTTGAAGTCAGTGGTGGTCACAGTGATTTGTATGGCTCTGATTTGTCTTTTTTTCCTTCCAACATTACATGCTGCCGCTTGTGCCACAGTATCGGTTGCGTCCATTACTATTGGTTAGTTCCGCCACTGTTTTATGACATGCTTCGGGAAAAACTTAGGGGAGGAAAGGGTGTTGTATACCGTTCAGCTTATGATTCTGCTCCGAGTTCAATATCGTACTCTTTTTGTTTGTTGCCGGACAGATAAGCTTTCTTTTGCTTTTTTATTTTCAAGTGCCTATTTAGGTGTTGTTGGTGGTCTGTATCTTTGGGGGGCAGATCTGGACATGATCGTGTTAGTAAACTTAGTAATGGTCGTTGGATTAACTGTTGACTTCTCGGCACATATCAGTTATCACTGCTTCACTTCTTCTGCTAGCTTCAACAAGCCTGAAAGCTTTGTTGATGCCATACACGCAGTTGCGATTCCATCGACTGAGGTACTTTTTGATTAGTCGCTTCCATTTTGTATCGTACGATGTAATTGCCGTCTTATGGCTGGACCTGAGTAGTTATTTTTGGTCAGCTTATAGACATATATTATTTTTTGTTCCTGGCTTAGCATTTACTATTCTTCCTAAAAAGCCAGAAGCTATACGACTTGTCTGCAGTGAATGCTGCTTTCAGGCTGCGATGACGACAGTGCTGTTGGTTACGCCTCTGTATTTTTACACTGTTTATTTGTATGTTACATTCGCGAAGACAGTCTTACTCATTGCATCAATTGGTTTGATTCATACTGTATTTGTAGTACCTCTCATTATTTCAATTCTGTGATGCTGATTTTATTTTCATCCCGTTGTTTTTATCTTTTTTTTTTCTTTCGAACTGCTCTGCATTCTTTCTAAAGTTTTCCAGCGTGGTAGTAGAATGTGATGTAGATGCTGTTGGGCCTTGCTACTTGAGCGCAGAAGTGTTCAAGTTTGGGCGCTTCGAAGTGACAGTTTTTTTGCTGTTTGAACGCTGTAATTGAATTTTTTCCGAGATTGCTGTACTTCGTCATGATTAAACGATTATCGCACAGTTGGTGGCAGAGATTTTCTGACTGTGAATCTTATTTTTCGCGAAATTGAAACAGAGAATGTGGATGACAAATGATCCTGATGGTTTAGCAATCGTTTTCTACGTCGCTCAAAGCGTATATTGATTCGATGCTTTTAAAGCTAAAACGGGAATTCTTTTGTGAGTGTACGGTCATACGGTCATTACCTGCGGTTATTTTCTTTGTGTCATGTTGCGAAGTAGAAGAGTTTGCATAGAAAATTTTTTTGAAAAGAAGTGAATTTTGTTTGTGTATAAAGTTTTGTTTTGATAATTCTACTTCATCACTCAGTAGAATCAAAAGGTTCAACGTGGTTTCAAAAGTTTAAAACGCCTAGGATCTGATAAATGAAAAACTATTCGGTCAAGATAGCGCTTGAACTGCGAGTTCGGAAGGGGGAGGTATGTCGCTTCAGTTTCTGAAGGCACAGTCTGCATCTGACGACAATCTCACCACTTTAAAGTACATACACGTAGTGTTGCCACGGTGAATTGCTTTAAAATTTGGCTCACTTTTTGGCTGGTATTCGGCTTTAACGGAACAGTATTACTATTTTGATATGTTAGAATAGTGAAGTTCTTTTCAGTTTTTCGATTTTTAAGTTAGGTATTCAGAGTCTTCTGAACGTTGAGGATTAGCAAATTTTGAGGTACTTATTGGAAAATGATGTGTAGTGGCTCACAGCTGCTAAAAAAAAATAACGCAGTAAAGCATGACTCGAGAGAAGTGCAAAATTTGAGTAGCTGGACAGATCTGATGACACCTGTGGAATTTTGCCTCTTCCTCTCTTCAGCAATATCTCCAACTTCTGACTGTTATGCTGTGAAAGCACAGTTTTTTTTATAAAAAAAGCGAAGTTTTCAAACATTTTTTGAAACTTTTTCTTATAATGTTCTAAAAGGTCACTGTTTTTTAAACTTATTTACTAAAAAAAATAAAGACACGAAAACAAAAGGTAAAGTGAAACTGGTGTAGCTGAAAAATTTGAAAAATTAATAATTTTTCTGTTGGGGAGAACCTAAGTAAATAAAAATTTTGATGATAATTTATGAAGTCAAATTATCTTTTTCAAAGATCAATCAAAACTGCATTTTCACTAGAAATATGCACGTCACGTAGGACTTGAAAAGAGAAAACAGTATAAAGTTCTGCACTTAACGGCATCGAAATTTTTAAATATGGAAAGAATTTGGGAAACAGTTTGAATATGTTGTTTTACAAAGAATCTGCATTAGCGTTCTGGTATCGGGTTTGATACCAAACTACTTGTCTAGTCCCGTTTCTTCTACTTGTAAGGTAACAGTAAGTTGGGGTGCAGTTTTTGACCTGTTGCTTTTTCCTCCGATAAGGTAGTGGGTTTCGACTTGTTAACCACTTCTAGCCGATTGAGATGAACTCTCAATTAGCTAGTGAGTGCTTGAAGAAAGGCTAGAGGATGATACTTGTCAGGCTACTCAAAGGTCAGAATTACTGATGTTTTGGTGCGTATATTGTCTTGTTTGCTTACGCGACATTTTGCGTATCACGCGATGAACAAGACATTTTTTAGCATTAAAAAACTGTTTATAAAATATCAGTCGTAAACAGAAAATCTACATTTTTACACTTGGTTTTCTCGGGTTTCAAAATAGTGTGGGAAATATTTGTTCTTATCTAGAAATTGGGGAGAATGGAAGAATTAAAAGTCCTCCACAAAAATTCTCAAATTTTTAAGATACAGATGTTACTATTCAAGGTTACATAGATTACCAATAAGTGGCTAAAATAAAAACAAAGGACTAAAGAATTAAAATCTACTGTGTTACTTTGTAAACTGCAAGCAACAGAAATAGTTTAAAAAAGTGAACAGTTGAGATAAGTTGTTATACTGTAAGAAAAGTGAATGAAATTTACATATAAATCTTCGTTCCTTAATATGAACCAATTTAAAAAACTTTACCATTGTAAGCCTCTTTTGAAGTTGATCTCTATTTAGCATTAGAATGATTGTCCAGTTTTCTAATTTTGAAATTTTATTCACAATATTTATAGGTAGTGCTCTAATGTTTCTTGTTCATCTTAAAATATGTGAAGCAGTCAGTGATTCTCACCTCTCCCTGCTATAACGAATATAGGCACTACTCAGCATAGAGCAAGAGACTAGAAAAGAGTCCCTCTCACCAAGCGGACGAGCAGTGCGATTTGCTGCTGTTCCTAATAAACGGTATCTTGAGCTCAATTATGAAAGTTTGTGAAATATTTAACTTAGAAATCATGACAGTGATCAGGGTTTAGTTCAGTCATTCCCCATTCTAAAATGTTCCCGCCTTGATTTTAAATTTTCAACAAAGACCAGTTTATTGCTTTAGCTGTCCCAACCGCATTTAATTCGGTTTACAACGGTTTTCGGGATTGAGAAGACGTTGCCACACTCAGATGTAGAGTTAAAACGCGTAATAAAGTGTCTGTTTTAAAGAAAACTTAGTTAAACGATTAATGTTTTCCGTCTTAGTCTGATTTCACGACAAGTTGTATATCAATAATACTGGGAAGAATTCTGTGTACGACTTAACAGAAGGATATTAACCTGAATTTTTTGAGTAGTATTCGTGTAAGGTGTTTTTTCTTCGAAAACTAAAATACTCTAGGGTATCAAGTATCACCTAAAGGTGATTTAAGAAGAAATTGTATGGTTTCAGAAAAGTTTAAAATCTGATAATCACGTTTTGAATGGAACAGTCAATAAAATAAAAAACGTCGAAAAGCTTTTGCAATTTGTCGAAATATAGGTTGGCAAGAAATTTTTTTTCTTATTTCCTTTCTCTATTTTGACAATTTTCGATTTAGATTTCCACTAGATAACAGAGTTTTGGAACGAAGTATAAGGTATTGATTAGAATAAGTATAAGACTGGACAGAGATTGACTAAGGCTTCTACACCTAGATTAAAGCTGGAAATTGTGTTGTACGAGACTGCTATGTACAATGTAATCTTAAAAACTATGACATTGAAATCTATAACTTGTGCAAGAAGATTGAAAACAGTTGTGATTCACATCAAAGTATCAGAATTAAATGTCGCTATGGTAAATATAAACGAGAAATGATGGTGCATCTGCTTACTTTGAGTAGTGTAGGAACTATTCTTGATAATACTATAGTGCTGCAGTGCTGAGCATAAAAAAGTCAAGACAGTACTGCGGCGCTTCGCTCAACTTTTGTCCACGAGATGCTGCATCTAACATATCTATTTCTTTATTTCTCTGATAGGGGTCCCACTGCCGCCTTCTTTCAAGGAATGTGATCGTTCATTGTAGTCCTTGCTTCATAGGGCATCTTATCATCCACCCTGTAATGAAACTTGAGGAGGAAAAACTGCTTATCCCGTGAGGTGGTATATGGCCTCATTGAAACTTTAATGTTTACATTATGATGGATGTCGCACTGACCGCGCCAGTGATGAATGGGCAGCGGTAACAAATTTTCAAATACAATTTTATTGTTCTCAGAGAAATATTACAACGGGATATTAGAATACAATGTAAAACACGTTTACTAGTAAATGCTCTCTTTCTGTAATTTTAAAAGTGATTTACAAACCTCAGAGGCACTACAGGATTGTGGAGCTTCGAGTAGAGATATTTTTGCACCAAAATTTCCAGACCGGTATTTTATGGTTCTCAATTTTCTT